AAAATCCAAACGATCGGCATGGTATAGCGGGCTATGGCGACTGACTATGGCGACGCGACTAAGGCCGATACGAAAATCGATAGCGTAATCTACGAGCCGGCCCGACTGGAGAAAATGGAAAGGGAATTGCTCGGGGAGGAAAAGTCGGGATGGAAAAAAAAACGCTGCTGCTTTTCATGGTACCAAGCGTTAACTTTTTCCTATCTATTTTTACGAGTACAGTACCTCTATCGGCTAAGTTGGACCAGCAAATTATATCCTGCAATTACGAGGGTGTAACGAGTACGATTAGAAGGTCGATACGAAATCTCTTTACTTTTAAGATAAGCTATTATATCACTGGGTCGTTTTTATGTATGTAAGCTAGACGATATAATAAACTTAATTTGCTCATTATGCATGGAGATATTTTCGAGGGATAATGTAGGAAGGTAAAAAATTTTCTGCAAAATTACACGAAATAAAAGGTATAATAAAATGATAAAAGACTCTAGATTCTGTTCTTAATGTTTTATTCGTCTGCAGGGCTCGACCAGTAAATGCACGTAGAGTATTCATGAATGTATGAACGACGTTTGTAAAATCACTCCCCTATCCATTTATCTGTCTGTCTGTCTGTCTGTCTGTCTGTCAGTTTGTTTGTTTGTTTGTTTGTTTGCTTGTCTCTCTCTTTCCCCCCTCTATCTATCTGTCTATCCATCTCTCTTTCTCCTTCACTCTTTTGTGCCATAAAATATCTTAATGGGCTTTCGTTAGCATACGCGGCATTCCTGTAAAAGAAATCACGATGAATGTAAATTTATGGCGTTCCACGTTGCTCGTGGAACGATGCAACTAAATCTAAAAATTACGACGGATCCCATGGCCGTTGTTTCGGCTGCCTGTCGTGTCGTCTATCCGAAGTGCAAGATATACTACGTACCTACGTGGATGTATAGTAGATGTACAGATAAAGCGAGAAAAAGAGTGTGTGTGTGTGTGTGTGTGAGAGAGAGAGAGAGAGAAATGTATATACAACATAACAAATGCGAGAGTGCAAAAATTCATGCGAGCTCTGCGAAACTTTTGCGAGTTTACTTTCTCTTTCTCTCTCTCTTTATATCTTTCTCTCATATGAGCTAACGTAGATCATCAACGAGAAAGAAAGAAGAACGAAAATGCACAGCGTAATATATGTAATTTGTTTCTCCCGTAAACACGAGCCGAGGTCCGAATTTTAATCCTCATTGAGTTTACAAAATCACGCTCACTCGGTACCAGCTCGTATAATTTTCCTCGCGAGAAGCGATAATGTTTTTAAACGTGTTCTTTTCTTCTCGACGAGAAAAAAAGAAGAATGAGAGAGAGAGAGAAAGAGAGGAGAGAGGGAGATAGCGGGAAAAGGTCGAAAGTACGCGACCACGAATTCTGCGGGACAGTTTCGACCCACAGCACCACCAGGATAAATTATAGATAAGGCGAAGAAGAAGGCGAGTATTTAAGTTTCATGCAGACTAGTGACTTTTCGTGGTCGAGGCTCAACCACAAAAGAAACGACTTCATTTCTATCCTTTTTTCTTTTCTTTTCTTTTCTTTTCTTTTCTTTTCTTTTCTTTTTTTTTTTTGATTTTCTTTATTTCATTACCAAAATGAAATTTCATCGTTGAAACGATTTTAACGTTTTTAATTTTCACATGATTTTACGATCATGATCCTTCATTTATGTTTTATCATTTTGAACTTTACATACGTATCTATACAGAACACACGAATTCCATGTTATTTCGGCCCTAATGAATGGAATTTATAATCGCCAAAAGCACGAGCACTATGTCGCATAGTGCATTTCGTCTAATGAATCCTCGACCCGTATTAACGTCGCAAAATGACCCATGCGTCTTCTTAAGACTACTAATGTTTCTATGCATATAACATGAATATAACAAAAGTCTATCTGGACGACGACATCATAATCGCGTTATATTTTATACCTTTTCCCAGCGATATGTTCATTAAAACGCTTTTAATGGTCGTCATTCATTAATATACCATAATACTTTTTCCATTCTATATTATTCTGTCATTTTACATACTTAACGCCTTAACTATTATTTGTAGAGGATTCCAAAATCAAGAGAGGTCGTTAGGAAAAATAAAAAAAAAAATCATGTTGATTACATGGATTACGATCCTTCGATTAATTTCATTTCTTAATTAATTCAACATCGAAAGATTCACGTACGATGAATCAATATTTGGCTTCACAATGTGAATGAAACGAAAGACGATATTTCTCTTTAACTTTTTCTTTATCTTTTTATTTTTCTTTATAAACTTTCACCAAAAAATCAAGACGTTTCATCATGCCCATTGAAATCTACGAGATAACTCGGCTGCCAAAACGATTCGTTTCACTTTTGACGATCCTTCAAGGAGCCAATCGAGAACGATAACTTTACATCTTACGTCTTCTCGTACGGTTGCGCATCCTTTTCCCACTACGAGCATCACTCTTTACGATCCTACAGTAAACGTTAGTCGCTACCACTTCTACTTCTTCTTCTACTTCTGCTTCTACTTCTACTTTCTCGTCCCCGTCTTCTTTTTCTTATTTTGGCCTCTCGCTCGCGCTCCGTTCGCCAAAAACTTTATTTTACCTTTCGTACACTGGCTAGAGAGATCTCTGGCGCCGCGCTTTTTAAAGTAAATAAAAGTTTCCGCCAACTCGTTCGTCTTTCCATTTAAATCCCGGAGCACCGAGATGACAGACGCTCTGAATACGCGAGAGAAGCTCCCTCGCGAGAACTAGACGGTTAAAGGGGGATGGTGGGAGGAAGCGAGAGCCGAGGGGTAGAAGGGAAAAAAGAAAAAAAAAGAAAAAGAAAGTAGAATATAAGAGAAGAAAATAGTAAGAGAGGAATGATGCCACTCGAAAACTAAACGTTCGAACGAACGAACGAATGGAGATAAGGCATTCGCCTTTGCCTTAGAATGTTTTTCTATTGATGAATTTTTTTCGATCACAGTTATCCTTCTTCTTTTTATCTTCTCTTCTCTTTTCTCCTCTTTTAACTTGTTTTTCTTCTCTATCTCTTTTCCCCTCTCCTTTTCATATTCAGGCTCTTTCGCCGAACTCTCCCTTTAACCTCTTCGTCTTGGCATATTCCCTCTGGCACATTCATGAACGACCATTCGGGTAATTTCTTTTACACGAGAGAACGCGAACAAAGAGAACCGTTCTCCTCCTTGTCCCGTCTCGCGAAACGAGCTCCTTATTTTCATAAATATTCTACGTTACTTAAAACATAATTCCAGTAAGGAACATCGTAGAAGTTGACGCACGTTACCTCCGCCAACTTTCAGTCGGCTCCTTCGAAAGATTGCGTCCAAAGAAAAATTGTAAATGGCGCGTTCAAAAAGAACGTGGAACGTAAATTTTCTTCCCGAAGAAAATGAAGATAGAGGGAGAGGACGGAGAAGGTTAGAGGGGGGTGGGTGGAGGGTGGAGAAGAGAAGGAGAGGGTCGTTCCAACGCATCGATTTTTATTCTTTTTCCTTTTTTTTTTACTATCCTTTTTTTTTTATTTTATTTTTTTTCTCCCCTTAAAAAGGATATACATGCATGTGTTTTTAACACATACGTATCTATAATACTTAAGAGGAATAAAAAACAAAAAAACAAAAAAGAAAAAAAAAGAAAAAAAAAGAAGAAATAACTACTCGTACGTGCATTAACCCCTGCTCTCCTTTATAATACTTTAGTTTATAATGTCTCGCTGTGAACACCCTTTGTATTTTCTTTCGCTTAGTTGGAAAATGTTTAAAACAAAGTAGCGATAAAGCGACGAATTCTCTTCGTATGCTCTCTGCTATGCATGGTATGTACGTTGGTTAATATCATTTCTTTGCATAAAAAGTCCCTCCTTTTTTTTTTTATCTTTCTATACTTTTTTCTCTCTTTTTCTTTTTTTTTTTATTTCTTCATTTTTTTTCTCTTCTTTTCTTTCTTTCTTCTTTTTTTTCTTTTTTTTTTCTTTTTTTCTTTTTTCTAACGGCCTTTCCAGAGCTTCGAACAAACGAGCTCGTACTATGATGCGTTCGTTATTAACGATATATTTTTTTCCCGTAGCTTATTTCGGGGGAAGAAGCAGACTTGCAAAAAATGTTCCTCTCTTGGCATCCGCTAGTTTTCTCGATATTAACTATACGCGCGAATTAACACGGAAAGGACACTTCCAAATGAAATGTCTATCCTGGCAAATATTCAGAATGAAAGCTCCGCGAAACCGTAGCGAGTTGCAACCAAATTAGCTCTACGCCTGAACTAACGAAAAGAAGGAAAGATGGGTTGAAAAAAAATACGGATTAAATATAGGACAAAAATTCAACCAAATTTTTAAATCTTATAAATGTGTATCTGTTTGTGTCTGTGTGTGTGTGTGTGTGTGTATGGCCAGTTGGTAAAGTTGACAGAATTAAATGTTCACTGGGGAATTTTTTCTCTCTTTCTCTCTCTCTCTCTTTTTATAGGTATACATGCAATATTGTTGCACAATACCAACCTCTCGTCTCTATTGCAGCAAATGGTTGTATCAAACAAAAATGATGAAACTAAAAAATAGTCTCGTTTCGATAGTCATTTTTTTCCCCCATGATCCGCTATCATCGGATTTTCCTGTTCCCTCCGACTTTTCCTTTTTCCCTCTCTTTTAGTTAATTGTATCTCCTTTTTCACCTTTAACAAAAATCTTTTCGCGCATTTTCACGTAAGCTCACGTATTTACCGCGATATTGGGACTGATACAACGATATCGTCGTAACATTTTCCATGTTTTTCCCATAGCTAATTAATCTGGCGAAGGAATGAGAACAAAACGAGAGAGCGTGCGAGCGTTTACGTTTCATTACAAAATATGGAATTTCTGTTTCCCTTTTTTATTTTCCCTTTATGCTTTGCTTTCCTTCCCGTTATTTTATCACTCGTGGAATTCCAAACGTGGTTAGCAATTTTTTTTTTCTTTTCTTTTTCTTCTTATTATTTTTTTATTCTTCTTCTTCTTTGCTCCCATCTCATCCCCGCCCACCGACCTCCTGCCAAAAAAGAAAAAAAAAAAAAAAATACAAAACTTATTCCACAGGAAATCCCACTTTCTCGTGATGCTTGGAAACAGGAAACACAATAATTTATTAACGGGAAAAAATTGCAATTTTTTGCAATTTTATACGTAAATGCATGAAATAAATTGTAAACGTTTAAAGTTTGCCCGTGCGATATTGTATATATTTCATAATTCGTTTAATAAGATAGGAAAATGAATCCGTTCGAAGTCAAGACCCAAAGAGCCCAGCTTATTCTCGGCTTTCATAATACTCGATAGCTATACGTATCTAACATATAAGCCTCGTTCATTTTGAAACCAGGAAACACCCTCCTTGAGGATCTCTAAACGGTGAGTGTCGATTTAAGCAGAGGGTACTTCGTAAATGGATACATACATATATATATATATATATATATATATATATATATATATACATATATTATACGTAAGTACATACATCCGACTTAACGATCCTGATACGAGGAATTCAAAATTCACTAGGGCATAGCATTACGAAATTCTAAGCTTTCCTTTCATCCTTCCTTTATCCCGTTTCTATCTTGAAACATTCTAACTATTAAGTTGCTAGCGTAACCTCACTTATATTTTAATCTTTCATATCGATATTCTTCTTTCGTTTAAGAGAACGAAGATTTTTTACTTGACAAAAGTTATTCATTAAATAAGAATTAATAACGGCCGATAAATAAATGTTGCTAATTAAATTTACGAAAAATATTATATACGACAATTATTATATAATATAAAAATGCAAATAGAAATTTGGCTATAAAACGGGAAAGAAATTATTTTCAATTCGATTACGTCGATTCTTTTGACGCATTTAAAATGATAACTTCTCGACGTGTATACCAACGATGTTATTAAATATGAGGCACGAAAGGGTGAGAGGAACGGGGGAGGAGGAGGATAGGCATTGAAATCGACTATTTTATTCCCTTGTCATTTTGATAAATATTCCAAAAGTACTTCCCGCAGGAGCGCACGCCTTCTAAAGAATCACTAACAATACGGATTGACGTGGTGTACGGTGACGTAAAAAATTCCAACGTAACCCAAAGAAAATTCTTAGCTTCGTTCATGGAAGAACCAAACAAACCCCTCTCTCTCTCTCTCTCTTTCTCATTTTCTTTCTCTCTTTCACGATAGACGACTCCGAGTAACCAAGTGAAATATTCAAGAAGGAGCGAATAAGATGGTTTCACATTTGCCGACATGTCTCGTTCATGCCCGGTTCTATGTAATTTCAAGGCAAATATTTTTCTCGCACGATACACCAAGGTGCACCTTGTAGAAATTGGTACATCGAGGAGGATAGATGAGAAGGAGAAGGAAAAGAGAGAGAGAGAGAAAGAGAGAGAGAGAGAGAGAGAGAGAGAGAGAGAGAGAGAGAGAGAGTGGAAGGGAAAACCAGTCGATAGTTAAAAATACAAAAATCTCGGGATCGTTCCTATGGAGCCACGAAAAGCCACTACGAAACGTTTCTAAAGTGTCTGCTTAACTAAAAGCAAAGCGGTGGTTCGTGGCGACGAGGAGTTTCGTCATATGTTCGTCGTCTTTGTCATCGTCGTCGTAGACCGAAGGACGAGAAAGTGAAAGGAAGAAACGAGGAAGATAAGAAGAAAAGAGAGAAGAAAAAGGGAGGAATGGGGGAGAAGAAATTCAAATTTTAGCGAGGACATTGCCATTCAAATTTCACCGACGTCGTTCGGGCCGATTTAAATGCAAGTAAACGGCAACAGTACCCTCTTTGGTCGTCTTCTTCCCTTCTCCTCCTCCTTCTCCTTCTCTTTCTTATAGTCGTATTCGTCGATGTTGTCGTCGTTGTTGTCGTAATAGTCGTCTTTCCTACCACTCGAAACGTTTCGACTCCGGGGAGCTACTTCGTAGATTTCTCTTATGGGAGGGGGTAGTAGGAGGGACATAATCGAAGGCTAACTCGTGAGATTTGCCTGCGAAGATGCCGAGAGCGCTTATTTTCACGTTGCATCGAGCGTCCAACGATCCGTTCCTAACCGTCGACGATAAGTACGAAACATCGAATTGAATATATATATATATATATACACATACATATGTAGATGTATAATAGTTATAGCTCTGAGAAAGGAGAAAATATACATATACATAGAAAGAGCGGCAGAGAGAGAGAGAGAGAGAGAGAGAGAGAGAAAGAGCGAGGGAGAATGTATATATATATATATTCTATTCAGGTCTAAAAAAAGAAAAATATTATATTAATATTTTTGATTTATTTAACAATATAAAAGAAAATATTCGGGATGTAGGCAAATACATAACTAGTTACGTACGGAAAAATAGATAGTAAACTCAGAGCAAACATTCTCAATGTACATACTCGAGTAAGGATACTTTTGTACATTTTTAGCTGAGAAAACTTGGCCCCGAATTTGTTCGCCATTGTGATACACGAAAAATTCTTGAAAATAGTACTATATAGGCATACCGTTTATGTCACGCGTATCTCCTGACGAATCGAACGGATAAACAGAATAGGATAACTTTAATGGAAATGCCAATATGTGCTTCGAAGTTTTTTTTTTTTCTTCCTTTTCTTCTTTTCCCACTTTTTTCTTTTTTCTTTTTTTTTTCTTTTTTCTTTTTTTTTTTCAAGAAAAAATTTTTATTAAACGCTACGATAAATCAACATTTCTTTCGCTTATAAGCTCATAAATCGTAAAGATCTTTACACATTTTGCGATTTAAATACTCTATTATTTGATTTTTCCTGATCGAAGAGAAAGTACAAATATTGACGAACGATCGTTCGATCGTAAAGAATTCCAGAAAAGATACGAACGAACGATATTCGATAACGACGTTCGTGAAAGACAAAGAAAATGATACGTTTATTCTTTAACAACGGGCATACTCGCAGGATTGAGCAAAGAATAACAAAGAGAAGAAACAGAGAGAGGGAGAGAGAGATAGAGAGAGATGGAGGGAGAACATTTAGCTGGAGAAAGAAAGGATTTTGTTTCGAAACACGATGAACCAACGAACGTACGAACGTACGAACGAACGAACGTGGAAAATTGGTCGAGTGCGTTCGATCGAAGCGGAAACATCGCATCGGCCGATTCCACGCTCACGCGATTTTCGATCGACGATGATAAATGTTGGGGAATCTGAACGTATTTTGTTGTTCCAGGAAGACTCGACACGACCGACGAGTTCAAACCCGACACGCGTTAGCTCTTCGCGAGTCACTCTCTTCTTGTTTGCCGATGCATCGTGCAGGCTCGTTGACCAAAACGCATTTCTATACAACCCATTTCTCTTTTCTCCTCACTACTCTTTTACGAATTAATTCCTCTCGTATTATCGTTTAATCCCTTTCTTCTTTACCGTACTCGTTAACGCGTTGACCTCGAATGAACGATATGGTAAGTACATCGAATATATCGAGTTGATATATATATATATAAAGAGAAAAAAAAACGATTGAATAATAAATTATTAATTCTAAAAAATCTTTGTAAAATTAAGATCCGTTTATACACCGAATTATAAAAAATTCGCTTCGATGAACAAAAGCGATGGATTCAAAACGTTCACCACGTTGTTCGTATGCAAGTGAGTTAATGACAAAGAGAGAGATAGAAGGGGGAAGAGAGAGAGAGAGAGAGAGAGAGAGAGAGAGAGAGAGAGAGAGAGACAGACAGAAAGAGTAGATAGGCAGCAACGACGAGCGGTAGAGACAGGGAGACGTGAATTCGCGGCTTTTCCAAAGTCCGTGTCGAGCGCATGGACAAACCTCGTTTATAGTCGAGAGATTCGGCCCATTCTGGCTAACGAACGATAACGGTAGAAGCACAGGAGATAGAGCTCGAATACATCCCGAAGTGAAAAGCATTAACGATGCGACGTCGTCCACATGCTTCAGCCATGTGTATATTCGTCTACGTGTACGTATAGTAACACACGTAGAGTATGAATCGTGCGTCTTTATCCAGGACGCTTTTGTCGTGTCTCGCGAAAAATGAAATTCCTAAGGCCTCGCCAGTAACACGCGAGCACGATCTCTACACGGATACCTACCTACCCATCTACCTACCTACCTACCTACCTACCTACCTACCTACCTACCTACCTACCTACCAACCTATCTACCTTCGGACATACATACATACGTACGTACAAAGAGCGAGGCTATTTTCAAAGCACGACGAACGGTATACAGGCGTTGAATATTAATCCTTTCGGTAGCGAAAGGTTATACGGACTAGTGCATCCTTTAATTTTGTTTTTTTTTTCTTTTTTTTTTGTCCCCTTTTTTCTCCCGTAGCTCCTCCCCTCCATATCCCCTCCCCTCTCTATCCTACCCTACCCTCTTCTTCGACGCAAACTCGAAGCAAATCTATTGTATGTCGTTATTGGGGAAACTACGCGAGATTGTGAGGTACGACAATGTTAAACGAGGAAGAACATCTATAAAATGAACGTAGAATATTAACGTAGATGAAATGGAGCGAAAGAAATCAGAATTATCGAGGTTTGGGTAATCGATCCTATCACGGCCGAACGTTTTTCATTTCTATATTGTGTTGGTAGAAACGAAATTGTGCAGCCAGGAATTAATAGCTCTATGTAAATTATACAAGTATTGTACTTTAGGTTATTTACCACTTTTCAAATTAATGTCGGCTAATTAAACGTGTTCGATAAAGAACGCTTTCGTAATAATTAATAAAAAAATAATTTTCTCGCACGAACAATTTTATTCTGCGAATATCTACTTGTTCTTCCCCCCCCCCTCTATATATATATATATAGACGCAAAACTCAGAGTATATCACTTTGAAATAAACGAAAATATACGAATGTTCAAGTAAAATGTTATTTCCTCTGGCAATCCGTAGAAATTGCAATTTGATCAGTTAGAACGCGCGAACGTTCTGTATTCGATCCGTATTCGAATCTCGAAGCCGCGAGGCGTGGCTCCTC